TCTGTTAATCCAATCAATAGAATCATGAGTAGGCCTAATCAAGCATGGCATCGACAGAGCTGCATTTAATCAATTTTGTTTCTCTAAGAAATTAAAGTACTTTGAAGAATTCACACTAGGAAATTCTGATGTTAGTAAATAACACTTAATTAGCATTAATTGGGTGGTTACTTTACGTGCAATACTTTGCTAAATGTTTTACTTGCATTATTTATTCAATTCTCACAAAGATCTAATGAAGTATGCCCAATTATTACCTGCATTTTGCATATAAAGAAACTGAGGCTTTACAAAGGTTGAATAACTTTCACAATAGAAATTCACCCCTCCTACCAATTAATTCATTAGTAATTATTTAGGTTTGGAGACTTTACTCACGGTATCTCAAGTTTCCTTAGAATATCTTATAATTAGTCAAATTGACTCTAGTGTCTGATAATGGTTAACCAGGCTACATCCCCTTTGACTCTTCTCATAGATTACTGACATGTGACACAGCTGAGATTTGAACCCGTGTATGCCTTTCCAATACTCTAGCCCATCATGCCAGGCTGTGTCCCATTACTGAAACACAAAACATCATTAGGCAGAAGACAGTATGATGGTTCCTCAAAGAGTTAAACAAGGAATTACATGATCCAGTGATTCTAATTCTAGGTGTATACCCAAAATAATTGAAAACAGGGACTTGAACAGGTATTTGTACACCAATGTTTATAGCAGACCTATTCACAAAAATCAAAAGGTCAGGACAATCAGTGTCAACTAATGAAAAGATAAACCAAATGTGGTATATCCACACAATGGAATATGACTCAGCCTTAAAAAGAAAGAGAATCTTGACACATGCTACAACATGGATGAACCTTGAAAATATATGCTAAATGAAATACGGCAGACACAAAAGAACAAATATTACATGTTCCACTTATATGAGGTACATAGAGTAAATTCATAGAGACATAAAGTAAAATGGTTGTTAACACGGACTGGGGAGGGGATGGAATGGAGATGTCGTTGCTTCAGGGGTACAGAGTTTCAGTTGAGAAGATAGAAATGTTCTGAAGATGGGTAGTGATGATGGTTGCATGATAATGTGAATGTACTTAATGTCATAAACCATATATTTTAAAATGATTAACTGGTAAATTTTATTATATATACTTTACCACAATAATGAAAAAAGTAATTAGGACTTAGATTTGCCCTAAAATATAAAAGCTAAAACCAAAAAACAAAGCAATAGTATGATTTGAGATCTAATTTATGAAAGATACCTTACAGTAATCAAATAAGCAAGGCTCACTCTGTTGCCAGGTTGAAGTACAGTGGTGCCATCTCAGCTCACTGCAATCTCTGCCTCCCGAGTTCAAGTGATTTTCCTGCCTTAGCCTCCCGAGTAGCTGGGACTACTTGGGCGCACACCACCATGCTCAGCTAATTTTTTGGTATTTTTAGTAGAGACAGGGTTTCACCATGTTGGCCATGATGGTCTCAATCTTTTGACCTCGTGATCCGCCTGCCTCGGCCTCGCAAAGTGTTGGGATTACAGGTTTGAGCCACCACACCCCGCCTGTAAATCTTATACTTTGTTTTCACTGAATAAAGATGAACATAAGGAACTAATAAAATGATGTGTGCAAGATCAGATATCAGATGTAACCACATAAAATATAAGTGTCAGGATGAATTCTTGCAAGAATAGCTTATCTCAAGGGATATCCAATAACATCTTATCTTGTTCCTTAATTACCTTCAAAGTGAACAAAAACACTTTTTCCATGGGATAGAATTCTTATACTAATACTTGGGACAATTTGTTAAACTTTATTCTCATATCTATCTATTGAAAATATTAAACAGTTTGAAGAAAACATTAAACACTTTTTTAAAAATCACATATTGGATTCTTTTCAGCAATATTTTTAAAATAATTAAGTTGGCTCATTTTAGTGCCCTTGATTCTGGCCCAGTTTGATTATGTATATAAAAATATGGATATCAAAATGACATAGGCATTAATGTTGTTTGATTAGTCAGTGCTTTTTGGTTGTTTTTTTTCCTGGTCAGAAGCTTCACAGCTTCACGGCAATCAGATAGAATTTTACCTTGTGCTCAATTCAGATTTATGTAAAGAGCCAAATGAACTTTATGAAATGCACTGAATTTTAAAGAAAAGTAAATTTCCTGTAATGGCATACTCTTTCTCTCAAAACTCAATGATTTTTTAATCAAATAAGTTAACATGGCAATAAATACAGTCTCTTTGACAAACTTGTGCTCATGGGAGAATGTTAAGGTATAGGCAACTATTCAATCCCAATTTTGTCATTATTTGGATTTTGGACTTGTTTTTCCTGTCCTTGAACTATTCTTTTCATGTAATTTCATAGCTGGTTTCTTCTCATCTTTCAGGCTTCAGCCCAAATGTCACCTCCTTAGAAAGGACAACCCCAACCACCCCATCTAAAGTGGCCTCCCCACCATCACTGTTACTCTCTGTAAGATCACTAAAAGTCATTTCCTTGGTGGCACTTTAAGCCACGGTGAAGTTATCTGGTTTATGTATTATTTACTTGTTTAGTATCACCCTTCCACCATCAGAACATGGGCTTCACAATGACAGAGAAAGGACCATCTTGTTTCCTCCTCTATTCCTCGTATCTAGAGAGTGACGAGTTTATAGTAGGTGGACTTGCCCTCCTACTTCCTTTGCCTTACAACTGTGCATAAACAGGTAGAGAGCCTAGCACCTCTGGGAAGTACAGACTTGTTGCTGTGCTCATATCTTCCCTTTATGGGTGCTGCATTCATCTCATTGGACTAAGAAGCTGGGCAACAAAAAGGTGGTGACCTAGAGGGTGTTAAGAAAGACCTATCTGGTCCCTAAGCCTAACTCCTCCAACCTAGTTTTCCTAGAGTCCCTTAAGGTAACTAAAAAGGGGTCCCTTATTTACCAGTTATCACAATCCTTTTGATATGTAGCTTTCTTGTGCATTCCACAAGAAGAACACCTGGCTGAATCAAGGAAGAGTTAGGCATTTCTGTGCTTCCTCATCATAATGCTATCCTAATATCTTCAAATGACACATAGCCCTAGCAAGTTAAAAGCATGCAGCTGGCCTCTCTTTTCCACTCCATTCTCTGACAACCAGCCTCATGTACAACATTAACTCTGAGTCCACAGGAAGCAGAGTAAACCAAATAAATGAAAAGCAAGCCTACTTGTCTTTCCATTTTAAAGACAGTAAAATCAAGTAATATCACTAGTCTCTAGATCCTTGCTTTTACTATTTGATCAATTAAAGCAAGGCAACAAAAATAGCAATGAGAAGAAGTTTTCTGAAGACCCCTTTCTAGCTATATAATTTCAAAGTTCCTGGGAATTATTTTGTAGAAATAGTAAGGATGGGCCTTCAAACTGACAGTGAATAGCTTGAAACAAGACATCCTGATCAGCCATATAGTTTGTTTTTCAAAGAATTTCCATCCAAAGATTCAAAACTAAGATTGCTTACCCCAACTACAGCAGACATAGTTGTCCCCAATCATGACAATCTGCTAATTCTCCTTTTTTGGGTAATAAAACAGAACTCCTTATTTTTGGAAGGTTCATGGCCACCCAAGATAACAAACTAAATTTCCCTTTTGTTTACTTGCACTTATGTAGATATAAGGGAAATTGTATGTAGGTAAGTGCAAGTGAACAAACGTGACAAGCCAGAGCAAATCCTTAAAAGAAGTGGGCATAGCCTCCCCTACTTTTCACCTCTGTCACTGGCTGGAATTTGGTGTGGTGGGTTAGCCACCCTGAGGGTACCACTCTAGAAATGGGAAGAGAAGGAAAAAGGCAAGCTAGTTGGAATCAGAGTCCCTAACTGGCTGGAACCACACATCATCTGGATTACTTATGCCTAGATTGTCACATGAGAAAGAAAAGCATGTCCATTTGGCTTAACCCATTGTTATTTGTAGTTTCCATTTCAGCAATTAAACTTGCATTCTAACACAATAAACTTTCCTTGATGATTTAGAAGCTTCTTCAGAATTCACAAAGTTGCTTTAAGATCTCAAAATGATAAACTTCTTGAGCTGCAACGAACATATCGCCTCACTTTATTGATAACGAAATTGAAGATAGAGTCAGTAAATTAACTGCTTGAGCCTAACAAGTAACTGGTAGTAGGACTCGTGTCAGATTTCCTCAATTTCAGTACATTCCTTTCCTCCCTGTTCCAATTAGCAGAGCTCTCTGGGAATTACTCTAAAGAACTCTCTCTCAGAGAGGTCTGGACTACTTACTACCTGTGGCCTGGGGCATTTTTTTCCCCAGACAACCTATAAACAGCTGCCACCTGCATACGCCAATGCTGTTCACACTTACATATAGAACGGAAAAGTGACACGAGGAGGCATTGCCCATTCCAGCATGCCTCACTGATGGGAGAATCAGGAGGACTCGTGCCTTTACTCTTGTCTTGATGAATCTGGCTTGGAAACTTTCCCTTTCTTTAAATAAAACTGATTATTTTTTCTATGACATAGCATTAGGGGATTTGTCTAGTATGCAAATGCTTGGCAGTTGGAAATTCAGAAGGCACAGTTTCATTCTATAATATTATGAGCACTGGTTATCATTCATGTACATTTTGATAATATATTTTCTATAACAATGAGCAATAGGGGTAACTTCAACTGCCAAGGAACAGCACAGAGGACAAACAAATCATTTAACTATCTACCACATGTCCAAACGCAGCTCCCTTTGGACAAAGGACATTGATATAATGGAGATTAGGAAAGCTGCCAAAGGTCCCATGGAAAGTGGAAGGTAAAACCTAGCTATGAGCCTACCAAGTCCTCAGACTTAATCACGCAGCTCTGCCTTTTTCCTTCAAGGTCCTACAGACCATGATTATGCTTTACTTATGAAACTAGAAGCGTGTACTTGAATTTTGCAAAATTCTACTTTTTATATGCCATTATCCCACATTTCTTACCCTCTTCATTTTCATCAAACACTGGCGGTTTGCTTGAAGTGTTGGCTCCCATGGTTGAATCTGCCTAGCCCTGGATCCTTGAGTTATACTGTCCTGGCAGAAACACCCATCTTTGTTCAAAACATGTCCTGAAGCCTTAGTTGGATATCTAGGATAGGAAAAGAAATAGTATCTTAATAATATGGTATACTCCAGGCACCCTGAGTACAGACTGTGGCTGAAACATTAACCTCATCTGTATCACTGTAGTGAAAACTTTTGTGTTTGAAAACCATGATTTCAGAATAAAAACCTCAAGCAACAGGAGAACACACTACATGGCTCATCGGTAGCAGACCTAGACTTATAAAACGGGAGGAAAGCAACATATTTTTCAAAATATGTAGAAAAGTTAAAAAATAAGTCAGCAATGCTTTATTCAACAACTTAAAATAAAAATATTACCGAGAAAATATGCTGATTTTATACTTTCTTCTTGTTATTGGGTGATCAACAACAAAACTTTTTTTTTTAGTCATAGAGATGCATTAGCTATCTCTTTCTGCATGCCCTGGAAGGTACTATGACATAAAAAAAGAAAGTTCTGGGTTGGACTTTACTATACCAGCAAATTGCTGAATTTCAGTGTGTTTCTCTTTTTCCTTCTTCTGAACTTGGAGAAGATAATGGTCGTTTCCTCAATGGAGAGTTGAATGTGATAGACATACATTTAACTCTTTTATATTAAGTTAAATGTATAATATGCACATATATAATTCTTTGTGTTGTATTTATGTACATATAGCTCTATGTATTGAGTTACATAAATGTATAATATGCATATACTTATCTCACTATATATTAAGTTAAATAATACACATGTATGTATAACTCTTTGTTATATTTAAGTATGTTATATACATTTATATATATAACTATATATTGAACTGTGTATTACATAAATGTATGACATACATACATTTAACTCAATACATAAAGCAGTTTCATAGCATAAGTGCTCAAAACTGTTAGCCACTCTATTTAAAGAGGCTCAAATTAAATTTAAATTAAATTTAAAGAGGCTCAAATTAAATGATATGTGTGAACAAGAAAAAATCCTGAAAAAAGTATTTATGGCTTTGCTCCACTTTAAAACATAAGGGTAAAGAGAGGCAGCATCCTGTGTTCCAGTCCTAAAAGTGACACTGATAATGCCTTTGGCCCAGTCACTTAACCTCTCTGCTCTAGAATGGGGGCAATAACAGTGTCTATCTCAGGAGTGACAAGTTGGGATCCTTATACGAGCCAGGCAGATAATGCAAATGAGTGAGCCAGACCGAACATTTAACATTAGCACATTGGGCAGACAGTGATGACATTGGCTCCATCCAAACAAAGTAATGGCTCTCAAATCAAACAGATTGTCACCACATGGAAACATGGGCCCAGATCTTCAGATCTACCCGAAAAATGGGTAAGCTCTAGATTTTGCACAAAATAATATTTTAAAATTCTGCTTAAGGAAATTCTATGCTTAGCACAAGTATGGTCATGGATGCAGACAATGAGACAATGTATGTAAGGTAACTGGCACAATGCCTGGCACTTAATATGCAAAGAATGAATGTTAGCTCCTGCTAATTCTAAGAGTAGCAGAATTTGCTTATTGCATCTTTTTAAAAATAGTTGGTTTCCTCCTGAGCTCTTTACATGTGAAGGGAGTATCGATTACAGGCGGAATTGAAGAAAGTGTTAAGAATGAGTTATTGAAAAAGAATTGAGGAAACCCTGGAGCAAGTGTGGAAGAAAAGCTCATTTTCCCATTAGGAAAATGTAAGTAAAGCCTTCTTTTTGAAGGCAGATTTATTAAGGAAACACTTTTTTTTCATATTAAAAGCCAACTGCTGGCAAAGTGCCTTATGGACTTTAACAAGAATCATTAATAGAGAGCAAAGAGAGTCAGCAATTAAGGAGCAACCAATTAAATGGTATGGGAGAGGGAGTGAGCAGGGGCAGGTGGTCACAGGTAGCTGAAGAAAGCTCAGTGGAATTATTGAGATTCAGGAAGCTAGAGCTCAACCATTTCTCCAAGTTAAAAAAATCAAAAGGCGTTTAACTCCAGTGGACAAGGGAGTTGAGAAGTAAGTGGGATGCACTTTTTATTGTGAGTGTTTTATTGTGAGTTAGGGAGAAGCAAATGGAGGTGTCCTTTGTGCTTTCTTATGGCATTTAAAATCCAAATGAGAGATAGTATAAAGACTGAACCACCGATGGCACTAGAAAAAGATGAATGGCCCTAAATGGAACATTGATTTTAAGGAATTGTAGTTGTTAACTGCAGGCAGCGGCTACATTCTCCTTTATTTTGTGCTTAAAACCTGAGTACATGTAGTTTTCACACTGCACCCCAGTCCTGTCATTCTTATATCATTCTTCACCCCTCAGCTTTTTCTCAAGTAGTCTGTCCTCCTGCAACATTGAGATGTACCAAGCACTGACCTTGCAAGTTGTCAAAGAAAAAGATGAAGGAATATTATAGCAATTTTCCATGTTTCAGAGTTTCATTCTGATGCGCAGACAATTTTGTTCGCCGCAGACCCAGTGATTTTTAGTGGGAAGATAATATGCAAACAGGGAATCATTTTTGTGTATGTCTGGGGAAGGGGGAAGCAGATGGAACTACTGGGTGGTGGTTTAGTATCTTCTTCATTGCACCTAACATACACAATCCAGTTTAAAATTATTTTTCATTTTCTCTCCCATGTGGATAACCAAATTAGATTTTTTTTTCACATCTAGAAAGAAATCAAACTTTCTCTGGCAGGAAAATGTAGACATATCCTTTGCACTCTGCTGAACAGAGCCCTGTAGAGCTGTAGGACTCTTTCACCAAAGCCCACGCCCTTCCTGATCTCCCGGCACTAAATCTGCAGTGTTACCTAAGCATCATTTTGGGATGTCAAGAGGACAGCTACCATCCATGAAAACGAAAATTCAAAGCATATGAAATAAAAAGGAAGAGAAATCTGGCTTGCAGGGAGTTTTCAGAGTCTACCTTGACTTGCCCGATTATCAGATTATCAGATTATTAACTGGGGACTAGTTTGCTAATACCAACATTTCATCTTCTGCCTGTACGTTTGGGGGTTGTCAACAGGTAAGCTTCTGTAACCACCAAGCCTCCTTAGGTGAAGAGGTGTGGTCTTCTAGGATTGGAAAACATAGAGGGTGATGCAAGAAAGTTGCAACTTTTGACTGAACTTTTTAGATTTAATTGTCACAGCATGTGCATAGACACACCTTACTTTGTTTGCATTTGAAAAACAGAACTTCTCAGATTAATAAATATTTTAAAATGCGAGAAAGAAAAAAAAAACATGAAAAACACCCAAGTGAATAACACTGTCTCAATTAACAATTGTTTATATTTTGTCATCTTTACATCACCATTTTCATTTTTAAAAAATTTTAGAGAAATATTTTCCCATCTTAATCCTAATGTCCAATTGACTTCCCTTTCACACTTTCCAAAGACAGCCACAATCGGGGATGTGATATACATTTTACAGTACCCGTTCTACAATTTTACAAACATGAAAAGTGTTTTAAAATAAGTCACCTAAATGGCACAATAGAGTGGATGTATTTTGCATCTTGCTGTGTCTATCTACCATGATACTTCTGAAATCTAGGTACAGGCATGCTGATCCCTACAGCTCTGACTTCAGCTTTTTAAGTGCTGCATAGCAGTCCGTTGTGTGAATACACCACATTTTATTTTTTCCGTCCTGGGGAAGAAAGTCCTGGTGGAGATGAAGTCAGCCATCAAAGGCAGCTAATTTTTGCTTGTTTAGATGCTGGAGAACAAGCAGAAACACCTCCACTCACTTATCTCAACCCAGCAAATATTTATTGAAGTCTATCCGGGTCTGCACGTGAGTCAGTGGCAGACTGGGGAACCTGGGTGGTGTGCAAAATAGCTAGAATTGGTCCCAGCCCGCATCTAGTTCTGTGAGTTATGCTGATCAGCAGCCTTTGTATTCTCTTCTCCTTGAACTTCCTAGCTTCCCATCAGTACCTTTAATATGCGGGTTTATTGTTATTATTTGTTAAATCTAGATCACCACTCACCTAGTCTCGATTCTTCCTTCATTCCTCCCCTGAGGCTGGGAACGATGCTTTCACCCAGGGAGCAGGTGCTAAGAGAAGAACTCCAGAGCAGGGAGGAAGGAGCAGGAGCAAGGAAAGGCACCTTTGTGCTTCGGAGCAGCGGCAGCTGCGAGCGCAGGGCTGGGTTGGGCTGCACTGGACTGAGCTGGGCTGGGCTGGGGCGGGCACCTGCGGCTGCCGAGGGGTCCGAGCGCCGCCCAGCGCGCAGCTACCCCGGGAGGGGCGGCTCCCCGGCCTGGGAGGGAGGCGGGAGCTGCTTGCCAGTAGGCGTCCCCACTTAGCGCTCTCCCCAGACTCTGTTGGATAGTAGCCTGGGTGAGCGCCAGTCGCCTGGGGTCCGTTTTCCGCCGGCGGAGGCTGGACAAGGACCCTGGGAGGGCGACGCGGGAGGAGAGGGCTGCGGGCGGGGGTCCCGCTGCGCCTGGGCTGGATCTGGAGCCGCCAGGGTGCAGAGCGCGCACCAACTTCCCGGGGCCGTGCTCGGGTTCCCCTGAAGAGACGCGGCCAGCGCCACCGAGGTGGTGGACTTGGGGGTGGCGGGTCCCAGCCTGCAGATCTTAAAAGGGGAGAGGCAAGATTGCCATTAAGACTTCCCTCGGGGTTTTGACGGGAGACCAAGAGAAGGATGAGAATTTTACAGGATCCCAAGAGGAAAGACCCTTTAAGGACTGTGGGCCGGTAGATTTGGTTTTCTGTTTTATTACAGAAAGAACTGAGGCACAGAGACGGAAAATACTTGCCCAGTGTAGCATAACAGTTAGTGGAGAGAACCTTTGGTAGGTCCAGGTCACCTGGCTTCCAGCCCCCAATTTTCCCAGGCACCTTAGTTGCCCTTGACACCTGCGCTTGGAGGTGGGGGCCGGAGGGGCGGAGATGAAGACAGTACTGCTGGAAGTTTCTCTGTTCTTGCCCATGGCAGCTCCCTGTAAAGCTCTTTGTAATAATCAACACGATTGAAATATTTTTTTATTGTCTCCGTTTCTAATCCAAGAGACACACACACCTAAGCCTATGCAGAATGAGCACATAAGTTGCCTATGACATGATGACAGTGCGCGACTATGGGCAGGGTCGATGGAGAGTTTGGGTCTGGTCATGGGGTGGGGTGAGGACAGCTTCTTTTCAGCTCCACATTTCCCTGCCATGTGGAAATGCCAGCTCAGCATTGCCAACCATTCAGATTTTTCAAAAGAAGCTGGAAACAAGAACTTCTGGATTAAAATCTTCCATTATTTTTAAACATGGACAAAATTTTAAAATGTTAAAACAAACAAAAGGTTGTCAAACAAAATGTGTCTGTGGCTGACATGTCTGTTTCAGATTTCCATTGTTTGATCTGTGGAGATGTAAAGTTCCACAGAGTGAAGGAATCATATTGGTTTTGTTTAACATTTTTGGAACCAGATCCTAGGATAGTGCCTAATGTACCCGAAATATCTGCTGAAATTGTTGGAGTGGTAGTAGTCACCTTGTGCTCAAGAGTGTCATAATGGACCTAATTAAAGGAAAACTATAAGATAACTCTATTGTCAGCTAGCCCTTTTCCTCTGCTCTCTCATCTCAGTCTTGGGCTACACACTACCCTAGTATTTTAAAACTTGGAATGACTTTTAACTCTCACTAGCTCACTTGTTCCCTTTACAGGTGGGGTCTGGAAGAAGAGATTTGCCCTGAGTTGCACAGTGTGATGGTGGCAGAGCTGGGTAAAAACATACCCCCGTGCTGTTGCTCTACCACCTTCTGCTATTGCCAATGCCTTATGAAAAACCTGAGAGAGGATTAGATACCATGAATTAACATTTGGTGTGGAATTAGGAGCAAGCTGCAAAAGAGGGCTAAACACACTCAAGTTTAGAAAAAAATAGAATTTTTAAGGAATGCATTTTTGGGGGAGGGCTTTCTTTTCAAGGCAAAAATCAGGCACCTGGCAAAAAAATACATTTCATTTGTGTGACACTTGGGACTTGATAAAACATTTTGATTATCTTCATGGCATTGGAGATGCACTACAAATTCACTGGGCCTGTATTCTCTTTTGTTCCCGATGAGAGAGCAATATTCATTTTATCGTCAAGGAAATTGAAACTGCAAGAAAGTGAGCTGAGACTAGAACTGAAGCCTGTGGAAAACCCTTTAATTTGGTGTTCTGGTTGGCGTACAGGGCTTTGGAGTCAGGCATTCTTCCCTTTCAATGTCATCTCCACAAATAATATATCTGAGATGTTGGCCAAGTCACTTAAAGGCCCTAAATCTAGGTTTTCCAATTTCAGTAAAGAAAACAACGGTCATTTCTATCAGCTGGAATTAATGAAGGATTAAATGAGATTTTATATAGATAGATAGATAGATAGATACATAGACAGATAGATGATTGCACTTAACACAGTGCTAGGCGGTACAGAGTAAACACTCAGAAACTGACAACAGTTAAGGTCATTTTAATAAGCAGACCACCAGGTTATGCCCAAATACCTCTTAGGTCTGTTTTCCAAATCTTCTGTTGGAATAGTCACATTTGCTTAAAATAAAACTAGTCAGTCGTAATGTCCTAATGTATTTGTTCATGTAAAGGCATGACATATCATAGATTCTATAGAAAAACAGTAATTCCTACTTTGTCTCATATGCAGGCCGTCAAATGTAGAACAGTTTCACAGAGCTGACTGTGTTTTAATCTTTCATTTATTCAGTTATTCATGCTCTCTTGTTGGTGTTCCCATCTTAAAGATAGCTAGCTCTTGGGGAAATGCAAAAATTACCACAAGAAATGTACTTGAAAGGCTAGACTACATGTGGCAATCTCTGGAGCCCCCCAGTGGAGAGGAGAATGAATTAAAGACTTAAACCAGTGAGAAAGTCTTGTCCAGATAGATAGGCAGAATTTTTTATCATTAAAAAAGTAAATAATGCCTTACAACACAAACTTTAATACCATGCAGTTTCAACTGTATTATTGGTGGCTTAAAAGCTAGGTTCCACTGCATTTAGACTAAATTGACACGCTTTGGTAGACAGGGACTGATACTGTCCAATCCCTGTCACTCTGCCCCCCCCCCCCCCCCGTATCTATGGTCAGTATTCATCTGTTCACTCCACTCCAGCCCACTGGCCTTCTGCTCTCTGCTGATCACACTGAGCTTGTCCTCGCCCCAGGACATTTGAGGGGCTCTTACTTATGCATGAATGCAGTTCTGGACTCTTTTTCAATTTGCTGTCTGCTCACATTTCTCCTGCTCAGAAAGACCTCCCCTCAACTCTTCTGATGTTGTTTCCTCACCACTCCCTCCATTCTCCACTGTACACCCAAACTTCTTCCATCATATCACTCTTCATGCACTATCATTATTTTGCTTGGGTAACTTCTTTGCTGTGTTTCCCCTCACTGAGCGCAGCTTCCATGAGGATAAGAGCATCTGTCTTGTCCACCATTATCTATACAGCACTGAATCCAGTATTTGGCACATTAAATAAATTGCTAACATAATTAAATGTTTGTTATTTCCATCATTCTTTTCAGTGAGTAATTTAGGAGGGAAATGCAAAGAAGACATCGTATACTGCAAAGCAGTAACCATTCACTGGTGAAGTAAACAGACTTTGATAGGGCTATGTTTAAAGGGAACGAAGAAAAGTTGGAAGCTGTCACTGGACCTGAGGATTTTGTGGTTTGGATAGAGGCAGAAACCACAGCTTGAGATTGACAGGTACCTGGCTGGGAGCCCTCACACAGCACTGATCAGATCGGCTATCTCTGCCTCAAAGAGCCAGAAGCCTCAGGAACATTTGATCTGTGTTTTGAAAGTTGAGTGGAGTGTCACTAGACAGAGAAAGGGCATTCTAGATTTGGAGAATGGAGGCATAACAAGCATAATATTTGGGGAGAATGATTAGAAGTTTAATGTGATTGTAGTGTAGGGAGTAGTGATGAGGGAAAGATCTTGAAAACTCAAGTCTACTGTGAAAAGTTGACAGTTTAAATCATAGCGACAATAGGAAGCCTTTAGATGTGTTAGCAGGAAAATAGACCTCATTAGAGTTGGGATTCAGTAAGATTACTATGCCCTCTTTACATAAGACAAAGCTTTATTTTCCGCTGGTCAGATATGCAAATTACTGTTACTAAAAATATGAGTTATCATAACAAAAAATATTAATTATAAAATAATCAGGTCCCATCACCATGTCTCATATTTAGTAAATTATCTGATAATTGTTGAATCCAACTCAATGTTCAGTTTTACCTGCTTTGTTCACTTCCACAAATACCATCACATTAAGAAAGTACATGAAATAACCTCCCACAGAATATTTTTCTTTAGATATTATCTTGATAAAGATCATCCATTTTATTTTCCAATTTCATTGAGTGATTGGAGTTTACAGTTTTCAAATAGGCTTTACAAATCTGTAACCTCAAGTTCATTATCTGTTTAATAACCCATTCCTGCAGTTTTGATTATTTGTCTACAGTGGGGAAGGCACCATGCCTGGAACTGGAGATACAAAGATAAATAAAGCAATCCTTGCTCTTGAGGAGCAAGCATTCTAGTGAGCTCACAGTACATATCATGCTGCTTTCACTACTCAGCCCTGTGAGTTTGACATAATTTAATTGAGAGAGAGGAAAACAACCCTAGGAAGTAACGGGGACATTTTATTTCTAGGACTGCAAAGAAAAGCTAGAAATAGTATTAAAATATTCCCTATTTCATGTTTATTAGAAAAATATTAATATCTGAGCAGGTGAAGGAAAGTTGATATGAGTTATGGTTTCTTTCTTTTTTAAAAAATTATATTTTATCGTGTTTTAGGTTTTGGGGTGCATGTGAAGAACATGCAAGATTGTTTCATAGGTACATACATGGCAATGTGGTTTGTTGCCTTCCTCCCCATCACCTATATCTGGCATTTCTCCCCTTGTTATCCCTCCCCAACTCCCCATCTCCCGCTGTCCCTCCCCTAGTTCCCCCCGACAGACCCCAGCGTGCGATGCTCCCCTCCCTGTGTCCATGTGTTCTCATTGTTCAACACCCGCCTATGAGTGAGAACATGTGGTGTTTGATTTTTTGTTCTTGTGTCAGTTTTCTGAGAATGATGGTTTCCTGGTTCTTCCATGTGCCTACAAAGGACACAAACTCATCGTTTTTTATGTCTACATAGTATTCCATGGTGTATATGTGCCACATTTTCCCTGTCCAGTGTAT